AGTAAGGCCACAGGTGCACCATGAATGGCCCCTCCCAGAGGAAACAAAAGAGGAGCGAAAGGGGAGTGGAGTTTGCAGGAGACAATTAAAACGCCTAATTGGTTCGTGACTCTCCGAGACTCCTTGCCAAGTTTTGCAGATATCGGCCTGGCCAGCTCTCCAAGCCAGATAAGGTCTGTGACCGTAAATCCTCCTTTGAAAGACTTTGCTGGATGTGAATGAACTTCACAGTAAATTAATAAAAGGGTTTTTTGTCGGGACAAAGAGTTTGCTTCATGCTCTCGGGAAGCCTGGATCAAAACAGGTTGGCAGCCTAGTTGTTTGTTGTTTGTTTGTTTGTTTTGTAAAAACAAGAGTTAAATATAGACACGGGCACCATATTTATCCAGCTTTTATCGCACAGAGATCCTTTGTGACTCTTTCAAAAGAAGGAAGTTGCCCGCATAAGGGTCCTCGTGAATAAGATCCCTGCGTTATAAATGCAGTCCTCTCGTTTGTCGTCTCGGGCTGCAGTGCTTTTGACATTTTCACATGCCTTCCTCGTTGGGCATTCACGCTTTAAAAACAAGCAAGCATTTCTTCCTAAAAGGCAGCCTTTCACCTTTTCATAAGTGCCGCTCTTCAGTTTGTTTTCATCTTGAGAGTAAATGACCCTCCGAAAGAAAGATGGCAGGTGGAGAAATACATCTGAACTCCCAGCCATCCGTTTTGGAAACAAATGGCAGGATTTTATGCAGGGTTTCTAGCACACCATCTTATTTTTCTTTGGGTTTTCTTTTTCCCTGGGGCGGGGGAAATCTTTGCCATTATTTAACCTTAAGCCAAAGGCTTGTGGCAAATTACATCTAGAGATCGGTAGGCGAATCCGTGGTGAAAACTGGGAGGTTTGCACACATGCGGAAGGTGTGGATTGATCAAGTGGCAGAATTTGGGCGAGAATTCTGCCTAGGAGCTACGCCCTGCGGAGAGAAGGAGAGACTCGCTGGCACTGAGAAAGGGTTGAAAAATAACTCTGCTCATTGCTCTTTGACCTGGAAGGATTAACAAAGACGTTAGCAGCAGCGTGAAGAAAAGGGCTGGGAAAGTACGAAGTGGGTTGCTTCCTCTTCTTTTCACGCAGAGTAAGGTCTTGTTTCTCAAATGTTAGTGGAGTCCACCTGGCACCAAAAGAAGGTTTTAATGCTTAAGATGTTCTATCCATAGAATTTAATGTGGTAAGCTGTCCAGAGTCGATGGATGGATGGATGGATGGATGGATGGATGGATGGATGGATGGATGGATGGATGGATGGATGGACAACATAGGGTGACTNTTCTTAAATGAATTACTGGAGGGAAAAATTGAATAAAGTACCATTTGTGTTGAGAAAAGTACCCAGGGCACATATCACAATATGGCGGGGGGGGGGGGGGGGAGAAATATGTATACATCTAGACATAAACAGATGGAAACCCGTTAACAAACCCTATCACAAGTCATTACTGACTGTGGACGATCACCTGAAAAATCATTTTAATTCGCAAAAGACGACCGTTCTACAAAGCTGTTCCTTGGGCTCCGTAGGGTTCTATCTTTTTATTTTTATTTTATTTTTTTATCATTCTCTTCTCCTTTTGTCCCCGTCCCCCCACCCAAAAAAAAAAAAAACCCCTTTAAACATCTCTCTATAAGCTGCCCAACCCGCAGAGTAGCACTGACATCAGTAGTACATCAATTTCAGAAAGTGGATTATTTTTACCAGACAGCTATTGTGACATATTGGGTCAGTCATAAATGAAAGATATTCATGCAAGCATGCAATACTTGTAATGAAGTCTCACTCTGACCTTCTGTATGATTGATTCTGTAATTTAGTTTTCTCAGGCACTGCCTGAAATGAAATGAAATCATGTTGAACAAGTTTTGAATACCCACAGTGCACCAGGAGAAGAAAAATCTGTAGCCCTAGAGGCTTGGGAGAGAGCAGCTGAACAATTTATCTCCATGCTATTATAGCCTTTGCCAACATTCAAGATTTTCTTCCCTCTCTCTCTCTCTCTCTCTCTCTTTTTTTCCCCCCTTCTTCTCCCTCTCTCTCTTTTCTTATTTGGCTTAAATACTTAATTCTGCAGGTAGCTGTAAATGGGAAAATAAAATGCTGTTCAGATTTAAAATGACAGCACCCGAGTACGTGCAAGGGACTGATAAAATATCTTGAATAGAACTGACCTTTTATGTTGCCGAAAGTTACTGAGGGATTCATCCTAATAATTACCATATAGATTATTTTTTATTTCTTTCCCTCAATGAAACATTTCAGGGAGCAGCGGTGCTGATTGAATGAAAATTGAACTTGTTAACATTCTCTCAGCTTAGCCTGTTGTACATAAGAGAAGGTTAGCTTTGATGAATTTTGAAATTCTCTCTCTTTTTTCCCCTCTTCAGATATCTAAAAAACAGACGGGGAAATAATTGCCTTTTTTTCAGCCCCACGTTTTTATTTTCTTCTTCTTTTTCTTTTATTAAAAATAAATTACCTTAGATGTATATATATGTATGTGTGTGTGTGTGTGTGTGTGTGTGTGTGTGTGTGTGTGTGTCAAATGTGTGTATATATATATATATATATATATATATATATATATATATATA